GTTCGGGGCAAATCTGGATTAGTTTAAACTAATTATGGTAATCCCACTGTTTTTGGCCATGACTGGTTCAAAAGTGGGCATGAGGCCTCCAGGCCAATACAACATGAAGTCCATCAGAGGGAGGGTGGGAGGAGATTTGGGAAAAACTTTCCTTATAAGTACTAAAGAGACACAGGAGCAGTTTATCTCTTCTCTTCCTCTGGATATTGTCAGGGCAAAAGCACTTTAGGTGCTCCGATGCTCCACTTACATTTTGAATTCCCCCTTCTCAAAGAAGACCTTCAGGAACTTCCCTCACTATCTTGTCAGCTCTTTGGGGGTTTTAAAGTGATGTTTTAAACAAGTCTTATTCAATAATTTTTTAAAAAGAGTTCTGTCAGAATAACTTACTCTATCATTACCAAAAATGGAAATATTCTACCTTTGTTTGCAAAATGATCTAAGACTGATTTGTTTTGAGAATTTTATATATAATTTTTACAATCTTCTTTGTGACAGTTATTTTTCTATTGCATAGCTAGACTGTGTAGCTCAGTGCTGCCTAGTACAGTTGCCATGAGCAACATATGGCTTTTCAAATATAAATTAATTCAACTTAAAAGTTCTGTTTTTCAGTTACACTAGCCACATTTCAAATGCCCAATAGCTATTTTGGTGAGTAGCTACCAAGCTGCACAATGCATATATAGAATATTTCCATCACTAAAGAAAATTCTCTTGGACAGTGCTGGCTATGTGTTCTGAAAGTTTAAATTTTCATATATTAGATTATGCTTTAAAAATCCCCAGCTTAAAAACTTATGCTCAGATAGCTTTTATAACTTAGATAGCATGAAAATAAATTTCAGTGTGGTAACTGAATTGTTACATATTCTGAACTAGTAGAGTCTTAGATTTATGAAAAAAAATTATTTGTATTTCCATGATATAGTCATGTTAACTGTATCATTTGCTGAAAGCTGAAACAGAAGACAAAGCTAATAATAGAAATGCCAAGCCACCAGTAGCAGGTTCTACAATTTGAGCATCTCATGTTTATTTATTTTTGAGAAAGAGAGGCAGAGCATGAGTGGGGGAGGGGCAGAGAGAGAGAGGGAGACACAGAATCTGAAGCGGGATCCAGGCTCTGAGCTGTCAGCACAGAGCCTGATGCGGGGCTTGAACTCACGATCTGCGAGATCATGACCTGAGCTGAAGCCAGATGCTTAACCGACTGAGCCACCCAGGTGCCCCCACAATTTGAGCATTTAAAAGGAAGTTTATGGGTGAAAAGCAACAAGCCTAATATGTCTGGCACAGTTTTTTCCTTTTTCTCTTACTTATCGTACATTATTCATATTACAGTAACTATCTTATTAGAGCCAAAACATGTGCCTGCCCCTACAATCACGTAACAGAAACAGATGTGAATTGAGACATGGGTTTGGCTTTCTCACTCCTGCCTAACACAGTCTGATAGACAGTAGATATTCTTTTTTTCTACCCTTGTGGAAAACCTCTGTTCTTCTGAAATTCATGCTATTCATCCAAATCACTATCTGGCTTCATCATTGTTACTAATCCATCGTGGCCATTTTCCTTCATTTATGAAAGGGTCTGGTACCTGCTTCGCAGTCTCACACTACACTCTGAGTTCTAACATCATCGTGAGTGACCTCAACATCCACATAGAAGACTCCTCAAATTCCCTGGCTTTGAGGATCCTTGAATTCCTTCATCTCTGCCCAAGGTTAGGTAAGCAATCCCTTGGCAGAGTTGTCATCATTGAGAACAGTCTCACTTGTCATATCTGAAATTCAAATGCATTCCAGTCTCTGATCCCCACATCATCTATCTCCCTCCCCCTGTTCTTCCTACTACACTGGTTCTTTGATTTTTATAGATTTTTGAAGTTAGGTCCTTAATTTTCTCCTCTTAGCCATCTTTAGACTCCACTGCGTTTCCCACCAGTGCCCTCAAATTCTTTCTGACTTGTTTATTGTTCTGTTGTAGTCTCACCTTCTCCAACCTATTCTCATCTAGAGGATAAATCAGAGGCTAAGTCTTTGCATGGTGTCTTATTGCCTCAAGATAAAGATCATTTAACCTCTTTAACCTCCAAGCCTTGCACTTACTTTTCCTTCTGCCTAGAATGCTCTCATGGTCACTTTCTTCTTTTCTGGTCTGCTCCTATTTGCCCTTCAGACCTTTACCTTCCTCTGGGAAGAATCCCTTAAATCCTTAATTAGGCTAGTGACAGTTGTATGTGCTTTTAAAGCATTCCATAATTATTCTATCATATCATAGATAAGTGATTTTTCTGCAATAAACTGATTTGCCAGGAAATTATAAGACCCTTGAGAGCACAGATTATCATTCTCAGTCTAGAACAGTCTGATATACAGAGGGCACTCAATGACTTGTTGAGTGAATGAAAAAATAATGCTGGTAACTTGAAATGGTTATTGTAAATGAAGGTACAAGTAATTGCTTCAAGATGCAAATTTAACATAGAAGTAAATATGATCAATAAGCTACTTTTTGGAAGTATGTATGAGGGGTAATAGAGCGGGGTAAGGAAGATTAGGAGTCCCAGGGTTGTAAGGAGCAGGGAAGGCTGCAGTTTTAAATGTGGTATTCAGGCTAGGCCTCATTGAGAAGGTGACAGTTGAATAAAAGTGAGGTAAGGGAGTCATCTATGTAGATATTTTGGGAGAAGAGTCCATAAGATAAAGGAAACAAGCAATGCAAAAGTACTAAAGGCGGGAGCATGCCTGGTGTGTACAAGGAAGGTGGCTAGAGCAGAGCTACTGAGGAGGAAGGAGGAAGAGATTAGTTTAGAAAAGTAATAGAAGGCTAGATTGTATAGTCTTTGCAGGCCTTTGTAAGGACTTTGCATTTAAGTAAAATGGGGAGCCCCTGAAAGGTTTTGAGTAAAGGATATAATCTAACTCACTCAGTTTCTTATATATTGAGAACTGTAGGCAACAAAAGTAGTAATGGCAAATCCACTGAAAAAGCTCTTCAGAGAAATCCAGTGCAAAAAAGAGTGGTAGCAGTGGAGGCAGTGAGAACTAGTCAGATCTAGGATATATCATGAAGGGAAAGCCAGTGCGATTTCCTGAGGGATTGGGTATGAGCTGTGAGAGAATGGAATCAAGAATGACTCAAAAAATCTCTCTCTGTCCCAAAAATAAATAAACGTTGAAAAAAAAAAAAAAATTTAAAAAAAAAAAAAAAAGAAAGAAAGAAAAAAAAGAAAAAAAAAAGAAAAGAAAAGAAAGAAAAAAATGGCAGATGGAATTGACATCTGAGATGGGGGAGGTATAGGTATGTGGAAATGTTTTAGAGAGAGCATTTGGGCATGGTAAATATTAGATGTCTATTAAAAGTTTAATCAATGGTAAGATAGGAGTCTGGAATCCATAAAAGAAGTCTGGGCTAAAAATAGAAATTTGAGGGTCAAATGGCATATGAATGCTGTCAAAAATAATGAAAGTGGATGAGATCACCAAGGTAAATATTAGTAGTGTACAAAAAAAAGGCCAATGACTAGATTCTGGATACCCTAAGAGGTCAGAGAAGAGTAAGAACCAGCGAAGGACAATGAGAAAAAACAAGTAGGAAAAGAAAAGGACAACCAAAAAGTTGTAGTGTTATGGAAGCCTAGTGACTATCAAGTAAGATGAACACCGAGGACTGACTATTGGATTTAGCAACATGTAAGTCATCTGTGACTCGAAAAGAGCATTTTAAAAAATGTTTTATTTATTTTTGAGAGAGAGAAAGAGAGAGTGCCAGTGGGGGAGGGGCAGAGAGAGGAGACACAGAATTTGAAGCAGGCTCCAGACTCTGAGCTGTCAGCACAGAGCCTGATGTGGGGCTCGAACTCACAAGCTGTGAGATCATGACCTGAGCCAAAGTCGGACACTTAACTGAATGAGCCACCCAGGCACTCCAGACAAGAGCATTTTTAGTAGAATGATGGAGGCAAAAATCTGACAAGAACAATTTTAGGAAAAAAATTAGACGAGGAATTGGATATGGAAGTACATAGTTCTTTTAAGGAATTTTGTTTCAAAAGGAAGAAAAACATGGGAAAAGAACCGGCAGATTTTTTTTGTTCTTTTAAAACAGGAGAAATAACAGCGTGTTTGTATGTTTATAGAAAATTCCAGAAGAGATGATATTGGAAAAATATCCACATATTTTGAAATAACCAAGAATTAAGATAGGAATAGAGTTGGAGAGCATGACAGTGAGGAATAGTGTGCAATAGTCTGATGATGTGAAATTAAAAGGTGTGGCTTTCAGATAAGAGGGAGGGAGAATCATCCGAAAGGAGAAATGAAATATAAAAGCATAGTCAATCCACTTCCACTCATTCAAGAGTTAAGGATGAAAACAACTTTGAAAGGTTAAAGTTTATTGTAAGTATCTTTAGAGGACAGCCAGTTTCCATTAGAACAACAAAGTGAAGAGAAGGAAAATTGAGAGACATCGGAATGTAAGGACTTTTGCTGCTGATGGATCTTGAATTCCTAACGGCACAGAAGTTTCAAAAGTTGGGCAGAGATAGGTAACAGAAGATGTGATATGCAGAACTTTTTGGAATTGGAGGGCAAGACACGAGGAATGATGTGGGAATCTGGGGTTTCTTACAGTGGCAAACACAAAGTAGGATCAAGGGTATAATAAGATTAATCCTGGTGGACTCAGAAAAGATAGTGGGAGCAAAGGTGTGAGTGTTGGGGGAACAAGACATTTTGGGGGACCTATGACTCTCTCTTAGTACCTATTGGAGAAGATTGTATTTGCCCTTCATGCTGGAGCTTTCCCTAGTTCCCTGTTGATGGAATTGCTGGATCTGAGGTTGGTTCCATTCACTATTAACAACTTAAAAAATTCATGTGACCTTCATACACATGGATTTATGATCAAATAGCTTCCAGTTTTAAAAATTTCCCTGCTCTAGGGGAAATGTAAGCTAATTTTTCATAGCAAAGTTTGGTTTTACTTACATCTGTGTTACAGGAGCGATACCGTTTCCTTTCCCCAAGGCAATATTTTCCACCTCCTGAAGGTCTGAAAACACATTTTGTTTAACATGTGAATATATCTGTCTACAGAAAGAGTACATATATTGCTTGACAAAAACATATTAGCATTTATTTTAAGAAAATACAAAATTTGACATTTTATTAGTTATTAAAATAATAGTCATGCTGGTGATTGTTAACAATGATGATTATGGTTGTTGAACATAAAACTTAACTCAGTTTGCTATGAAAAGCTTTTTAAGACTCTTAATTGTCATGATTTACATTAGGAAGAAAATGCAATTAAATAAATTTATTTTCTAATTACCATAGTAAGCAGGTGCTCAGTTCAACACAGTGAGTTTAAAACTCACTTATAATGAAAAGCCATTTGAATCTTATTCAACAAAAGCCATATATAATCTGATGCTATTTGTTCACCACGTAGGAAGTGGTAAGTTTACTATTTTTTCCAAACTACAAACAAGAGCATACTAAATTAGTCTCTGGAAATAGCTGTAGTTCAAAGTAAATAATGCAGAAATGAATTTCTATCTCATTATATGAAGTTAGAAAAATTACATCTCAAAACAAGATGGCTTTGCATTATATAAATACTGCATATGACACAGTAATGAAAAAGTAAGATGCCCAATATTTGATTTACATAAATTAACTTTTAAAGTATTTAACATCAGGTAAAGCCATATGCTATTATTCAGGAATGCTATTTCGAATGGCAAGGTAACTTCTTTTATAACTATCTGAGTATATTACTTTTTATCATAGAATTTTATAGTTTTGGTTATTAATTACAGTAGCCCGCAGTTGAACTTAGGTAATTATTCTGTACTTGTTTGAGAAAAGATCAAGTATAATTATAGTTTTGGCTAACTGGTAATCAATGGAATAAAGTTACATGTTACTATATTTTGAATACCAGAGAATACTGACTCTAAGAAAGAAAAGAAATGGCCCCGTCGAAATCAGCTTGGGAGAAATAGGTTGATCAGCCAAAAACAAGGGCGTGGGGATGGTGGTAGCATGACTGATTTATGAGTGGGTGACAGTGAGCTCTGTTTAGCAGGAAGATAATAATGGAAAGAAAGCTGGAGAATGGAAACACAGAAACTAGTGTAAAAGGAAATAATTTCAAGCTGAAAAGAATAAAAAAGAAGAAAAGAGACATTCAGAGGAGGAACCAAAGAGAGGGATCCTGAATTAAAAAGAGAAAATTAAAAATTAAAGCAACTTTTACCCCAGGAAGGAGAAAAAAGCAGAAGTGATATAACGCCATGCTGCACCAAACATTAGTTGGGAAAGGAGGCCTGCAACCCGAGCTCTAGACAAAAATGGGAGCACTTGATATGCAGCAGCTAAGGAGAAGTTTAGTTTCTAGGTGGACAGGAAAGTCCAGCTGGGGGACTTTAGTCCACCTGTAATGGGCACTAGCGGGAGGGAGAGGCAATTCAGCTACCAGAGAATACTGATGGGGCTGGCCTTATGCCAGGGGACTCTGACTGGAGAAAAGGAGTGGTGGGAGAGGAGCAGTCCAACCTGCATGAAACAGTCACGGGGAGAAAAGTGGTGGCAGCTCCGGAAGATGATTAATAGGGGCATGTGAATGGAAACTATTTTAACACATGGGCAGTATTCTTTTCATTGTGATTTGTGATGCGAATCAAGGCATTTCAACCCTTGAAGTGCTCTCATTGGTCCTTTTAATACTAATGTAGCAGTAATAATTTTATGTGACATGTGAAAAGAACTTAGGTTTCCTGGGAATAATGGTAATGTAGCTAAGACCAGACCTGGATTCATCCATAATTCAGTAGTTTTTGGAGGAGGAAATCTATCTGATTATTACTAGATTAAAAGTCTGGCTATACCTGGGATAGATACACAATGCTATTCTTTTTTATTTTTAGTTACACAGTAAGGGGGGTGGGGGGAAAAAGAAAGTCTGTCTAACAAGGCTCTTCCACTTCTCTGTGCCTATTGCTTGTTCAGAAGACAAACACTTGGCTCACTAGTGAAACGTTTTTACAGATAACATGTGAAACCACAGCTTTGAATCAATTCCAACTGTGTCTTTTTGTTGGCTCCGGCTTACTTTAGCTACTTACGCTGGACTGTCACAGTGTCTTAGGGATGAGGAGACGCCTCCCCCGCAGGTTCTGCTGCACTCTCCCCATAGTGACCAGGGACCCCAGCCCCCATCTATGCTCTGGGGCCAAGTGCCAAAAGGAACACAATCTCCCTGATAACACCACTGCAAGATTTCACAGAAAACACAGAATTAGCTTTTAGGCAGATAGAGCTATCAGGTTAGAAATACATAAGGGTCCGGCAATGACCAATTACAGGCATTAGCATTCTCCAATAGATAACAGACTGAGAGTTCTTTAACTGTGTTTAGACAATGGCAAAGGTGCATGTGATTTGCAAATTATCTTTAGCTAGACAATGATTTATGCATCTCTAACATGTACCAGGAGTCTAGAAAACTTGACTTTACTTCCTTTTTCCTTATTTCTCTGCCTCCAGAATCCTAGTGTTTCTCATTAAAGAGACCTCAAAAGTCTTTTTTAAGATATTTTAGTATTAATTTTTTTTTCTTTTTATTCCACTATTATTAGACTCATGGAATGATAACGCAATATGGAAAGTTCCCCAGTAAGGAATTTTTATGATGGTAATTGCTTTTACATTAAAAAAAAAAAAAAAAAAAAAAAAAAAAAAGAAAGAAAGAAAAAAAGAAAGAAAAAAAAAAAAGGCTGGTTGAGGCTACAATAGTTAAAGAATGTGTTGTGGCATTTCATCTACATGAGTCCTGCAGACATAATAAAAGTAATGCCAAGATACTAGGGACAGGGTACAAAAAACTCTAACATACACTGCCTAGCCATGTGTATACAGCACTGCATGAACATGTGTACTGGAATTCTTTCAGCTTTACTCTGCACTAAACCACACATACTGCATGTAAGTAGAAAGCCAGGAATAATTTATCGAGACGTAGACATCACATAATCAGCTCATAACTCTAACATGATAAATCTTATTTGCAGAATATGGTAAAAATGAAATCTTTTTTTTTAAGCCAAGCATGTCTAGGCTTTTATTGGTGCGTTTTTCTTAAGTATCAAATTTTGACAAACCAACCTGGTGCTGTGAATGTCATTTTTTTTATATGAATGATAAAAAACATTATTAGAATAACTATCAGTAACATCAGATACACAAAAAATCAACTTTATATTAAAATATGAAGGCATTATAAAATGCAATGCTTAGAAAGTAATCAGTTTATTACATTGTTTCCATATATCTGGAATTTTTTCACTTTTCACCATTCCATGGCTGCCACCTTAGATGAAATAGGCAAATGGAATAGATTCTTACCTGGTCTCTGTGGCTCTACTTTTTTTGTACCTATAATCAACCCATTCTCTAGTAAGCACTTCAAGATAGATCTTTTCAAAACGTTATCACATCATGTCACTTTTTGCTTAAACAATTGCACTAGTTTCCTGCCTCCCTTAACTCTGGTCAGAAGTGGCCTTTGTGACTCCTGCCTCCTTCTCCAGTCTTATTCTCTCTTGCACAGATTGGTTCAGACCACTGCAATCTTTTATTTTCCTCAATATACTAAGTTTGTTCCCTCTTTTGGGCATTTGCATCTGCTGGTCCTTCTGGGAATATTCTTCTCCTAATTACTTATGTTGCTGTCTTCTCATCATTTGGTCTCAAGGTCAAGCGTCCTTTCATCAGAGAGGTCTTCCCTTGACCACTTTTATTCTGAAGATGGGGTACCTCCCCACCTCTTTCACCCTCCCCTCCTCCAACTCCAGACTGTAATAAAGATTACAGCCTCCTGTTTTAGTTCCCTCTTACCACTTAACACATTTTAAATTACTCTTTATTTTTCAAATTACTTCTTTAATATTTTTCCCTTCTCATTAGTATGTAAAACCAGGAGATGCACATGTGGCTATTTATTTATTTAAAAAAATATGAGCATTGTATAATACTCATTTTAGGTAATTCATCCATGCTTTTTTTTTTCTTTTTTCATCTATGCTTTGAAGGGGAAAGTTCAGCAACATATCTAAACCCACAAATGACCAAGTTATTTGAGCAAAATATATCCTGAGAGGCAGGATAGCATGATGGTTGAGGACTGAGACCTGAATAAGAACTGAGATACTAAGTAAGTAATTTCATTTGTCTGCACCTGAGCTTTTTCATAAATAAAAAGGTAAATAATAATAAAGCCTATAGCATGGCAGATTAAATAAAGATAATGTGAAGAACCTGGTACATGGGGTGTAGAAAGCATCTGATACATGGAAAGAGTTCTGTAAATGCTAGTAACCACTGGGAAAGTTGCTTAATTTCTCTGGATCTCCATTTTCTTATCTGTAAAATGCGAACAATAACACCATCTATCTAGTAGGGCACATAAAGTGAGTAGAGTAATGGTTAATTCATATCAAACCTTCAATATGCTAAATTAGCTAATATTACTGTTAAAATGAAGTGCTCACATGTAGGAACGAGGTTTTTGCAACTTGCAGAGATCTAAATGTGGTGTGAATGGCACTCATAACCTTCCGAAATCCTAGAGAAAGCTAAGTTCCTGCCCTGATGATGATACTAAATTCTTGGAAGGCCACACAAATCTTCCACAATGCAGAAAGAAATCAATAGGCACACTTTGGAAGATTTGTTTCTCTCCATAGATGTACATTTATCTCTTCCAAAGTTGATGGCTCTGAACATTTTTTAAAAATTTGTTGAGGGGTGCCTGAGTGGCTCAGTTGGTTGACTGACTGGCTTTGGCTCAGGTCATGATCTCACGGTTCATGGGTTCGAGCCCGCGTCAGGCTCTGTACTGACAGCATGGAGCCTGGAAGCTGCTTCTATTCTGTATGTCCCTCTTTCTCTGCCTCTCCTCTGCTCATGCTCTCTCCCTCTTTTTTTCTCTCCAAAATAAATAAACATTAAAAAAATTAAAATAAATTTGCTTTATAAAAATTTGTTGAATTTTTAATATTCTTTATTTGAAAACATTATTTGAACTAAAGAGACAAAAACAAAAACAGTTGACCCATATCTCCAACCCTGACCCCTACCTCTGGCAAACACCAAACTATTCTCTGTATCTATGAGCCTGTTTTTAAAGAAATATACATATATATTAAATATATATTGCTATATAGCAATAAATATGCTATTTAAATTTAATTAAAATTTAAATTTCAGTTCCTCAGACCCACTAGCCACATTTCTCGGGCTCCATAGTCACATATGGCTAGTGGCTACTATGTTGGACAGAGCAGATATAGAGCATTTCTATCATCATAGAATATTCCATTAGAAATGCTGAATGTCGGGGCGCCTGGGTGGCGCAGTTGGTTAAGCGTCCGACTTCAGCCAGGTCACGATCTCGCGGTCCGTGAGTTCCAGCCCCGCGTCGGGCTCTGGGCTGATGGCTCGGAGCCTGTTTCCGATTCTGTGTCTCCCTCTCTCTCTGCCCCTCCCCCGTTCATGCTCTGTCTCTCTCTGTCCCAAAAATAAATAAAAACGTTGGAAAAAAA